CGAGGAATTGATCGTCGTATCCGTCTCACGTGAGGTTCCGGCAGAGTATTTACGTCACGTTATCGGGCCTCACAATAGTTTTGATTACATGGTTGATGTTACATCCTTAGTTTACAGACAAGTTAAATTGATGTATTTCTTTTTCATCTGATTGAATATATCTTATATTTTCTATAATTGTGACTTTTTTGTATGTAAATAGCTCCAAAGTTTATTACGGTTACACAAAATAATATACAAATCAACGATAAAATATTAATGAATACAAATGACTATTGATATAAAAAAGTCACCGGGTTCAGCCAAATCCTTCTCATATCAAAATTTTCTTATATCAAAAACAAAGTTTCAAATATTTCTTATATCAAAAACTCATAAATTTTCAAATAGAACTTGTAAAATCTTTATACCAAGAGCTTCTTATATTTAAGGCTTCCTATATCTAAAGTTATTTGTATATACATAATTACTATAAATTTATGTTGTTTTGTGTGAAACCGTGATAACTTTTGGAGCCAACTGTACGTATTGACATTATCCATAAGTATAAATACTTGTAACATAGACCTTGTTTTCACTCACAGTTCTGTCTGTAAATCAGTTATTTTGAATTATCAATTTGCATATTTACATTCTGTACTGTATAGAATCTCTTAGATCTTGCAGTACAAGTAACCTATAACAGCGGATTTGTGGAGTTTGACCCTTTTTGGGATTACCGATAATCAATTTTCTGATTTAACAATTATCATAAGGAACTGAGTGTCAAACCAATCTCTTGTATATCACCTTGCGTCAGCACGAAAACTTCTTATAACGAGCCTACTGAATAAGGAACCCTTTTTTAACAACTTTATATAGTAGGTATAGAAACATAATAAATTATTTTATAAAGAACGTTATTATAAGAACTGACAGTTCATTACGAAAAACTGTATTCGAATTTTTTTTTCCTATTCATTTTTAACTCATATTTCGTCACAAAATAAAGGTGATCTCATATATAAAAGCACAAAAAAAAGATTGCAAACTAATAACTACAACTTATGTTATAGTGAAGTCCTCAGGCTTGAAAAACCTTTCTGTAACTTATATTGAAAGATTACTAAATATACCTTACAAAGCTCGTCTATTATATCAAGAGCTCACTATAATAGAAGTAGGCTGTATTTTGAAAGTCTTGTTCTTTTTTTTATAGATTCTATTGAATTATTAATTTGTGCTAATTTAGTTTATGAATGCAGATTCAAAAAGTTTGCTATAATTAACTTTTTTATAATGAATCATGAATATAACAAACGTGAAAATTTAATTTATATTGGTTGAGTTCGAAAAATGTGTGCACTATAATTTAAATTTAACAATTTATTTTATATCTGTTCGCGATTATCATTCAGTAACCAAGTCTACATTTAGAATATATTTCACGATTTATTATGGACCAATAATATGGTTTTGTCTCTTAAATAACAATTATGAAAGCTTTCCTTCACTATATTGATGTGAAATTACACGCCTGGGTGGTATTTTGAAGTACACAATTTCCAGAGAGCTAATAATTAATTGAAAAATATAATTGATAAATTATTTTTTTAAAAAAAATCGCTAAAATTAATTCTTAGCTCTCGAAATTGTGTCTCAAATAACGACCCAATAGTTATTTCGTAAAAATGCGGTAGTACACAAAATAATAATAATACTAAAGGTTAGTAAGAGCACGAAAAATGAACTTTAAAAATTTTCGAAGCCAATTTTCCGGAGAATGAAAAGGTCGGAAATCATGTGACTGCGCCCTCGATTGTTGAAAACACTGGTGCTCCTGGTCTTAATTATCTGATTCTGACACAATGTAAGTTGTACGTACGATGTTTTCTTCTTTCCCATTCGTTTGTATTTGACATCCAAAATAAAATAAAAAAAAACTAGTCTTTATGTTAATATTACTAATAAAAAGAACAAATAATTACAATCGTCCTCATTGTAGAGAAGTCCTCAGAAATCGATTTTCCAAATTTCAAAAAAAAAAAATCATAAAAATCGATTTTTTTCAATAGTTATTTTAAAAATTCCAATGATCGATATCAATCCCTATCTCGAACTGAGAAATAATCTTAACCATAACCTATATCGAGAGAAAATATAAACAGTCAACTCTTCATGACGAACCACTAGATCGGACGTAAGAAAATGTTCGTTATAAAAAATTATTATGCTTTCTTAAGAACTATAACTCATTATGCCGAACTAATATAAAATTTAAATTTTCATTACATCATATCCAGAGTTTATTATAGAGATGTTCGTTATTATAAATTGACTCTATATAAAATCCAAAGATTCTTTAATTCAAAATTCTTCACTATATCGATGTTGAATATATCTTAAAATTTTACAATCTTTTACTATTTTATTTGAATAATTTATTTGTGTTAATTTGTTTATTAGAGAGGTTTATTTATAAAATGAACTTTTTTATAATGAATCCTTCACGTGACGAACCGCAAAATTTAAAATTATATATGTTTAATTGATTTAAGCCTTATAGTTCATTTTAAATCTGCTCGTGATTACCATTAAGTAATCAAGTTTATTTTTAAATATGCGTAATAACAGTAGTTTTGTTAAAAAAAAGCAATGTTTAAAAAAAGTGGTTCATAAAATATGAAAAATAATAGAAAAATTTTCAAATTGATCTAAATTTTCCGGAGAATTATAAGCTTGGAATATCATGCGTTTGCGCTTCGATTGTCAGAACTTTTCATATAGCATCTCATGGCGAGGATCTGAGAAATATATATACTGTACGGTAATCGTACTGTACATAATTTCTACAAACCGGTCGATTAACTTGAGTAATTTTGGCAGCCGGGCAGCTAAAGCTTTGGCCATCGACCCGTATCACTAACCTAAAAAAAATTATTAATTTTATTAGAGTTAATAGAGAAAAAAAAATGCAACAAATTATTTAGCTAAATGGGTACCAATAAGATTTGTTCTTCTCCAAGCTTTCAGATCAACTTCAACCTCCTTAATTTTTCATTCTCCACGCTTCCAAATCAAATTCTGCCTCCTTAATTTTTTTTTGTCGAATTTTCGAATACACTATTCGACTATCCTCAAATCGAATTGCTTTCCAATAAAGGTTTTCTAAAAATTGCAAGACTTTTAAGTCATCATTTTCACCAAAAGAGTCGCCAATAACTTTGATATACGCCAAATTGTTGGGTTCTGGATCAACGTATTTTACTTGTACGACGGGATTGAACCTGACTCGATAATTAGGTTCAATATATCGTATTTGTACTTCGGGATTAAATTTGACGTGACGATGTGTCTTCTGTGGCAAGGCTATTTGATCCTGATTTTGGCAAAATATTTTTAGAAAGATATTTGTATATTTATGTTAATTATTTACAAACATATATAAAAAGTATAGGTATTTATCGATATTACCATGACATCATCATCATCATCATCATCAAAAGAGTCACCAACAATTTGGGTAGGTTCAAAGTATTTTACTTGTATTTCGGGGTTGAATCTAACGCGACGATTTTGCTTCTGAAAATATTTTTAAAGAAATATTTATATCTTTCGGTTAGAAATTTACAAGCACATATAAAAAGTATAGTTATTTATCGATATTTACCATGACATCTTGCTGTGGTTTCTGTTGCTGAGGCTGCTGTTGATGAGGTTGCTGTTGCTGAAGTTGCTGTTGTTGTAGCAACTGTTGTAGTTGTTGCCGTTGCAGTTGTTGCTCATGTTCCAAATAGCAGGCGATTGCAAATAAGATAGCGACGAGTAACTAAAAAAAAAAACATGTTAACCAAAAATGATGCACATTATTTAGTTAAATTGTTCGGTTTCAATTTATGCTTACAGCGAACACCATGATTTAATATTCAATAGGTTTTAATCTGGTTTTTTGATATGTTTAAGATTTGTTTAAAAGTTTTAAAACAGATAATAATACGACTAATGTTTGTAAGTTTGAAAAAACGATAAGTTCAAGGCTTCCGGTGTGAGATTTGACCTTTTTATATGATCAAAAATATTTTTCAAAACAACATCTGTATAAAAATATTGGACCAAATTAGATGTTGATTGGTCGTGTAACCACGCCAGAATATATTTATGAATTCCTAATTTGGACTATCAACTTAATGCATTGCTCGAGCGGAGTGTTAAACCGTACGGTTTGACCCAATCAAAACTGAAGATCATAAGTGCAGGTCACCGGAATTATAAACAGAATATTAGTCTATTCAGTGTAAAAATATCAAGATGATGTAATCTGCTTTTTTTAACGATAATCATTTAATTAAAGGTTCAGATATGAAGACCAATGAGATTTGTAAAATTTTTCAACAAATGAAAAGTCAAGCTGGAAATTGTTTTAAATTTTGTGATTTCTTATTTGATGACTTTATATACGTGTGCTAATTGTCTGGAGCGAAGTGACGGACTTATACTTCTACACGCATTGATGACCGATATTGTGATTTTGATACATTTATAATATAAATATCAAAAAAGTAATTTCAGCATTTTCTATTCGTAATGCTTCTGAAAATTACATAATCAGATGATTCAGGGGCTAAGGCTAAATGTTATCAGTATAAAAATTTTAGGCCCCGACAATAATTTGTGTATATGCAGGTTATGTCGATCATTGCTGATTTTAGCAATAAAACCACAAGGTCATGTGTAACTAAAAGAAAGAAAAAACAGAAAAATCGTAAATAACTCAAAATTTTACTATGATTACTACAGTTTGACTTCTAAATAAAAGTTTTTAGCACGACATTTTAGTTCCATAAGTACATTCAAATATCAAGTAAATTATTAATTCTGATCTTCGATTTGATGACCTGTTACAGATTTCAGACGCGCATGTATATATGACATCATGTACTTATTTGAACCTAAAAAAGGAAAGTAACCAATTGAAAAATGAAAATTAAACTATTCAGGTTTAAGAACTAAAAACCATTAATATAACTTACATCACGAAGTTGTTGTGGAATTTTTATGTCGAATTCTAAACTCAATGTAGATTTTTTTTTTTAAATATTAACGGTGAGGCCATGCCTTTAACTACTCAATGTAGATTTACTTATCTATTTATATAGATATATATATATTTATATATAGAATGATATAAAATAAAAAAAAATTTAACTTAAATCTTAAAGCTAGGATTATATTTTTAAGGGTTTTTTTAGCATGCTGACATTTTTACTTAGTGCACTGATCGGTGATTACCTTAGTCACTTTTTAGAAATAGCTGAAGTAAATTAAATTATTTTATATAGATATAAAATAAAATTTGTATGGATTTATATTTATATAAATAATAAATAAAATTATATATAAAAATTATGTAGTATACATATAAATTTCTTATTTTATAAGTCTAAATTGGGTTTGTAGACATATATAAGAATTTTAAATAATAATTATATCATTTTATAGAGTTATATAAAGTTTATAAAAAACGACATATTAAAAACTTAAGATCTAGCCTCTAAAGCATCATTCAGACCTAAGAGCTAGTAGTCTAAATATTTGTTTTGTCTGTTCTTTCTGCTATTATACCAAATCAGAGAGAACTGTTATTGTCAGTAGCAGTGGATGCATCCGTTTTATTAGAAATCAATATTAAAGTATTAATAATTTTTTTATAGAATTGGATTTTCTTTTCTAAATTATTAAGTTGTTTTTGCATTGAAGTAATTTCATATTCTTTGTATTAGATTTTTCTTCAAAATCAAGCTCATCAAATTGTAAATCTACTACTAATGATAAGAGCTTTTCTTTATATTTATCTTTTAATAGTCTTGATCTTTATACAAAACTCCATAAAGAAATTTTACCTAATTCTAATAATTAAATTTTTTTGAAAAATCATAGATAGAGTTTAGTAAATTAATTGTTAGACTATGGTTTAATTTTAAAATATAGCTTACCAAATAAAAATATATAAAAGGCTACTATGAAACTCCAAATTCTATTCATAATGCCTAGCAAACTTAAGATTTATTTATTTAAATTAGTAATAATTAATAAAATTTTTTTTGATTTGAAAGAAATTAAATATATGCTACTTATAGATTTATTCTTATTTATTATCATTATTTATGAAACTGTTAATAAATGTTGATAAAATATTAAATATATGCTACTTATAAATTTATTCCTATTTATTATCATTATTTATAAGACTATTAATAAATGTCAATAAAATATTAATAAAATAAACTAATTTAAAATTATTTACTTTTGTTCTAATTCTTTTCTTATAATAGTATTAGGTTCTACAAAAAATTATACTGCTATATAATAAGTTTCTGCTGTATTATTATAAATGTAAATATTTTAAAATCAATCCAAATAATAAATAATAAACATGTATTTTATTAAAAATATTCATATAGTATAAAGTGGTATTAAAAAATGTATTATACAGTAAATAGTATCATAAAATGAAACAGTCTCTATAATAGTTAATAATATAAATAATATTAGTATAATATAAATTAAAAAAAAACTTAATGCAAACATTCTTACATATATTTGATTCAAGATAAGGTTGATTCTTGTATTATAACATTGTTATCCTATATCTACTTCTTTTAAGACAGTAGGCAACTAGAGTGACTTTAGACAGTAAACATTTTTTTAACCTCACTTGTTATTGTATTATAACTAAGTCAGAAGACTTTGCAATTATGAAAGAGACTACAATTAAAAATATATAAGGATACTAATAACTGTTTAGTTTGGATAATATAAAGTAGTAGTTTATTAGTGAAAGAATATGAAGACTTGATGTTGAAATTGAGCTCTACATTGACCATTTTTATACTTTTTGGCTATATAGTATATGTAACAGCCTATGTCTTTTACATGTATAAGATATTTTATAACTACTATTAATAAAATAAATAAGTAATATTTGATATATAAAATAAATAAAATAAATAACATAAATAATATATATAAACTAAATATAATATAAAATATATATGCACCAAAATGCATAAATGTTATATATATTATATCTATAATATTTCATATAATAAGTATTTAACTAATCAGATTACAGTTTTCTTATTAATTTGGTTATTGGATTCGACTTTGTGATTTTATGATCAGAAATAAATAATCTATTTCTTATTAAAACTGTCTCAGTGAATTAATTCAAATAGTGATAGTTTTATCGAATTCTGTCTATTAGTTCAAGAGTTATAGTCATTTTTGTAGGTTAATATTCTTTCAGACTTATTTTTGAATTTTATGAAAACTTAGCAAAGAAAGTCAACATCAATAGAGGTTAATTTCTTAAAACTTATTAAGTTCAAGAATTTAGTCCTGTAGATGTCTTCTATTCCATATTGAGAAATAATTTTATAGACTCTTGTCGAGTCTATTTCATAGTACTTAATTAACTTGTTTGCCAATACTGTTTATTGGACTGGAGTTTTTGGTTTGGTTTCTAAAAGTTCTTTTAAATAGTAGACATAGGTAAGAGTTTTTAAACAGCTATCTTTATAGTTTCTTAGCCTAGCTATATTTCTTAGAGCTTGATAAGTAAGATAAACTTTTGTTTTAGTTTTATCCTTATAGTTATAAGAAGAAAGTTCGATGATAACATTAGTTGGTTCTGGTTTAGTTAATTCCTGCAAGAATATTTTTATAACAGTTGTCATTTCAAAGATAAATAATAATAACAAATAAAAAAAAATTTTTTTTTTTTTTTTAGATAATATATAAAAAAAAATAAGTATACTATATAAATATATATTAATAAAAATAAAATATTGATATATAATATTCTAATATAATAATAAAGATAAGTATAATTGTTTAAAAGAATAAAAAAAATTCTATTTCCAGTATTTCAACTAAGAGCCTTACAAGACTCAGATTCTAGCAGAAAGCTTATTTTAGTCAGTCTTAAACATATGCCTATACTGCCTAGTAATACATCTTATACTATTAATCTATACTGGAAATATTACAAAATTTCAAATCTGTATCCTTTTTGAAGATCATTAAAATACTTCAAGTATTCAATAAGATACTAGAATTTCATGTGATTTGCAATCATATAACTTACAAATTTTTGCCATTCTAAATTTGTTAAATCAATTTCTAATTGATTTCCAAATTTGGTAAATTAACTTTTTATTGGTGTCTAATTTTGGTTTATTATTGTTCATTAAAAATTATAATCCTTTTGTTACTTTTTTTTTTTTTTTTTTATAAAATTTTTAACAACAATCTCAACAACATCAATTTCAATAATAATAATAACAACAATAATGTCTTGCCAAAGTCTTTCTGGAAATGTTTATCATACTTACCAAAATAGTAATAATGTCTTGTAGGAACCCTTGAAGATGGTCCAAGTTGAGTATAGGTGGTGAATATTTTCTTTAAAATTTTCT